TTCTCTTTTTATAATAAAACACTCCAACCAAAGCAACTTAAAAAAGGGATTTACTCAGACTCACAGGTTCATGGTAGTGTCTGTCATGGTAGGGAATTCAATGTAGCAGGATCTCAAAGCATTGCATCCACAAGGAAGGCGCAATGGCTCTTTCCCACTTTTTCTGCTAACAGATTTAGTGAGTCTGGTTTTATGTTGAGGTCTTTGATCCACTTTGACATTAGTTTTGTGCAGTGTGATAAATATGGATCTATTTGCACTTTTCAACATGTAGACATCCAATTAGACTAGCACCATTTGTTGAAAATGCTCTCTTTTTTTTTTTCCATTGTATAGTTTTGGCTTCTTTGTCAAAAATCAAGTATCTGTAGGTGTGTGGATTTATTTCTGGGTCTTTGATTTGAATCCATTGATCCACCAGTTTGTTTCTGTGCCAGTACCATGCCATTTTTATTAATATTGCTGTATGGCACAGTTTGAGATCAGGGATGGAAATAACCTCCAGAAGATCTTTTATTGTACAGATTGTTTAAGCTATTCTGGTTTTTATTTTTTTCTGTATGAAATTGAGAATTGTTCTTTCAACGTCTGTAAAGAATTGTGTTGGTATTTTGATGGGAATTGCATTAAATCTGTAGATTGCTTTTGATAGGATGGCCATTTTCATTATGTTAATCCTACTGATCCATGACTTCAATTTCTTCCTTCAGAGACTTGAACTTTTTTTCATACAGGTCTTTCAGTTGCTTGGTTAGAGTCACACCAAGGTACTTTCTGTTATTTGTGGCTGTTGTGAAGGGTTTTCTTTCCCTAATTTTTTTCTCAGCCCTTTTGTCTTTTGTATACAGGAGGGCTTCAGATTTTTTTTTGAGTTAATTTTGTATCCAGCCACTTTGCTGAAGCTGTTTATCAAATGGAGTTCTCTGGTAGAATTTTGGGGGTCACTTATGTGTACTATTATAACACTTCAACAATAACAGAAATAGCAAAAAGCCTACACACATGGAAACTGAACAATTTCCTATTCAACGACAGCTGGGTCAGGCAGGAAATAAAGAATGAAATTAAAGACTTCCTAAAATTCAATGAAAATGATGGTAAAAGTTACCCAAACTTGTGGGACACAATGAAAACAGTGCTAAGAGGAAAGTTCTTAGAACTAAGTGCATTCATAAATATAATTGAAACATCTCATACAAGCAACTTAATGGAACATCTGACAGCACTAGAAAATGAAGCAGACTCACCTAAGAAGAGTAGACAGCTGGAAATAATCAAACTCAGGACTGAAATCAAGAAATTAGAAATGAAGGACAATTCAAGGAATCAACAAAACCAAGAGCTGGTTGTTTGAGAAAATCAACAAGATAGACAAACCCTTAGCCAAAATAACTAGAAGGCAGAGGGACACTATCCATGTCAACAAAATCAGAAATGAAAAGTGAGATATAACAACAGACACTGAGCAAATTCAAAGAATCATTAGGTCCTACTTCAAAAGCCTATATGCAATGAAATTTGAAAATGTAAATGAAATGGACAATTTTCTTGATAGATTCCATTTACCAAAGCTGAATCAAGATCAGGCAAATAAGCTAAATAGTCCTATATCCCCTAAGGAAATAGTAGCTGTCATCAAAAGTCTCCCATGCTATAAGAGACCTGGGCCAGATGGTTTCAGTGCAGAATTCTACCAGTCCTTCAAAGAAGAGCTAACGCTAATACTCTTCAAACTATTCAACAAAATAGAAACAGAAGGAACATTACCAAACTCATTCTATGAGGCCAAGTCACCTTGATACCTAAACTGCACAAAGACCCAACAAAAGAAAGAGAACTTTAGACCTTTCTTATGAACATTGATGCAAAAATACTCAATAAAATACTTGCAACCCCCCCCCCCAAATCAAGCAATCCATTTAAAATATGGGGTACGGAACTAAACAGAGAATTCTCAGTAGAGAAATATAGGATGGCAGGGAAACACTTAAAGAACTGCTCAATGTCCTTAAGTCATCAGGGAAATGCAAATCAAAACAACCTTGAGATTTCACCTTACACCCATCAGAATGGCTAAGATCAAAATCTCAAGTGATGATACATGCTGGAGAGGTTGTGGAGAAAGGGGAGCCCTCCTCCATTGCTGCTAGGAATGTCAACTTGTACAACCACTTTGGAGATTAGTCTGGTGCTTTCTCTGATAATTAGGAATAGTGCTACCTCAAGATCTAGCTATACAATTCCTAGGCTTATATCCAAAAGATGCACAAGTACACAACAAGTACATTTGCTCAACAATGTTTATAGCAGTTTTATTTGTAATAGCCAGAACCTGGAAACAACCCAGATGTCCATCAACTGAGGAATGGATACAGAAACTGTGGTACATTTACACAATGGAATACTACTCAGCAATTAAAAATAAGGAAATCATGAAAAATGCAGGCAAATGGTGGGACCTAGAAAAGACCATCCTGAGTGAGTTGTCCCAGAAGCAAAAAGACACACACGTTATATACTCACTTATAAGTGGATCCTAGACCTGTAATACAGGACAAACATACTAAAAATCTCTTACACAGATCAGAAACCCCCTCTGATGTACTGTTTGTACCCACAGTGGATTGTGCCATCCCATATTAATAAACATAATTAAAATAAGCTCCCACAGACATGCTCACAGGTCCACCTACTTAATAACCCTTCGTTAAGACACACAGTCCCTAAATTCCAAAATCAGAAGTGGTAGGCTCTTAATTTTGCTTATTGCTGATGAGGTCTTATGACATTTAGTCTTTTACTAATTCAGCCTTGTTTTGCTTCTCTGATCTTTCAAACTCTTCTGCTTTTAGAGTGGTGGTTCTCAACCTTTCTAATGCTGCAAACCTTTAATAAGTTCCTCACATTGTGGTCCGACCTCATAACTGTAATTTTACTATTCTTATGAGTTATTATATAATCATCTGTGGGTTTTGATGGTCTTATGTGACTCCTGTGAAAGGCTGCTTCAACTCCTACAGAAGTTGCGATCCACAGGTTGAGAACCACTGCTTTAGAGCATCTGAGTTTGCTGAACATTAGGTCTTTTCATGGTTGACTGATTGTCAAGACTCATTTCTTCTCACACTTTAGGTTTTAACATCAGTTCTGCTCATACATAGATATGCGTGCTTCCCCACACCCTCAGTTCTATACCATGTATATTTGCTTCCTAGGTCTGGAAGTTTCTGAAGGAGTTTTTCATTTATCTGCTCATTGTTCATCCTTTGTCATGCCCCCATTCTGCAATTTCTACCACACACCCATACACACAGAGCATAAATGGAGAAGCCTGAGAAGTATGGGGGGGTTGCTCCTTTTTTTTTTAATTACTGTTAACATGTAGCACCTGTCACAGATGATGGGTTATGGATGTGCACTTAGGTGCTTATGTGAATGAGACGAGTAAGCGCTTAGTTTGTGATGTTATGGAGCCCTTCAATATTCCTTGTTGGACAAAATGAGTAGCTATCTTTAGTCGTAAAAATTAATGCTTGGAATTCTAGAACCAGGTGAATTATATACAAGAGTTTCATTATTATCTGTATGTTTCTTTCTCTCTCTCCTCCCCTACCCCATGTACATGTGTGCGTGCATGTGTGTGTGTGTGTGTATGTTTATATGATATATGAGAAATTACAATTTGTGAAAAAAATATTGTATACCTAGTTAATTTCTGTGTGTGACATTTTATTTGCATCTCATAATAAAGTTTAGATTTTTAAATTAAAAATTAGATTATGAATTTTAAGATATAATGCATAAAGTCAAGGCAGTGTAATTTCTGTGGTTCTCATCCTCATCATAGTGTAGTTCATCAATAATATCTGTCTTTTATTCAGTGTGAAAATGCATCATTAAAAGAACAGATGGAGGGTATCAGTAAAGAACTGGAGATTACAAAGGAAAAACTCCATACCATTGAACAAGCCTGGGAACAAGAAACTAAATTAGGTGAGTCTTACAACACTGGTAATATCAAGTATTTTAGTATCTAACAGTGCTTAATTTCTTACTGAAAATTCTTTTCTATAGCAGAATTCAGGGGCGTAGAAATTTAGACATTGATATAGAAAGATGAACTGTATCCTACAGCTTAGTTTAGTACACGTATGCTGAGTCACATCCTGGGTTTTTGCTTTATAGTTCTCATATGAGGTTTTTTTTTTTAATGTTAAGGTTATATGTTATAAATTTATAACAAAAAACACTAGTTATTTTGAATTATTTTGAAATGCATGTTTTTCTGACTGCAAAGTTTATGTGTTGTGTTTGATTTGATACCTTAAAAGTCAAAGATCACCCACCATAAATATCAAAGGAAATTTGAGAATTTGTATTGCCTATATTCGTATATTTGAAAATTGTCATAAATTTTATGTACTTTAAATAATAAAAAAAATTGTCAAAAATTCATCAGTTTAGTAGAAATTCGAGGCATTCACATATTTTAATCATCCTTATAAAAATTTGTGCAGTATCCTGTTGTTTGAGTTATTATGATTATAGTACTAGTTTTTATTTTACCATTATTTAAAATGCTACAAAGATCAACTTCCTCAATTTGGAATTATATTATTGAATATAAAATTAGAATGATAGTATTTGATATTACATGTATACAATGCCCAAATAATGCTCATGATTTGTAAAATTTCTTTAAAATTTTTTTCATTAGTATTATTGTTATTATTTACAATGTAATCACTTTGTATCCTGGCTGTAGCCCCTACCTTCATCTCTTCCCAGTCCCACCCTCCTTCCCCCTTCCTCCCCATGTCCTCCCCTATGGCTGCATCTTCTTTCTCTGTTGCCTCCTAAGGCCACCTCCCAGGGGGAGGTTATGGAAGATCAGGCAACCAAGTTCATACTAGTGTCTTCCCCTGCTCCCCTTATTAGGAAACCCACATGGAGACTGAGTTGCTTATGGGTTACATCTGAGCAGGGAGTCTGGGTCGTCTCCATGCGTGGTCCTTGGTTGATTTACCAGTCTCTGCAGGACCCTATGGGCCCAGGTTTATATTTGTGTGTGTGTGTGTGTGTGTGTGTGTGTGTGTGTGTGTGTGTGTGT